TGTCAAACTTCGACGAAACTCATTTTCTTAGATTTGTTTACCCTCTCACCGTCACGAACTTGTTTGAAATAGCATAATACTTATAACCTCAAAAGTAATCTCATTCTCAAGCTTACGTCGATTAACTTACGACGAAACTTTAACATACGAAAATGTGGGATGTAACATCTCATTTTCAAGATTATATCGATTTACTTATGGCGTACTTCCACGTACGAAAATATGGGGTGTAACACAAAATAAGGAATTTGAAATAATAAATCTCTCAACCAATTCACTTCATCACTGGCTGAAGTTAAAGCAATTAGTTCAGCCTCTATGGTAGAGTTAGCAAGTATTATTATTTACTTTTTTTATTTCCAACAAATAGCACCACCTCTCCACGATAAAATGTTCCAATCTGCATCAAAAAAGCCCTCGAGTACAGCAGGAGTTTTTGTAAACCTGCTTAGTACTCTTATTACATATCTAATATCAGGTCGAGTACAATCAGTCACATATCTCAAGCTTCCAATTAAGCTAGCAGATTCCTTTTGATTTATCACATCATTGTCACTTTGTACACAAAATAAGTGAACACTTGAATCAAAAGGGGTTACAACATGCTTGCAATAAATAAAGTTATATTTTTTCAAAATTTTCTCAACATAATATGACCGGTCAAGGAAAACTCCATCACATATTCTAGTAATTTTCATTCCAAGAATGAAACTTGCCTCACCCAAATCTTTCATGTCAAAATGGCTAATAAGAATGCTTTTAGTTTCTCCAACAACATTCATGTTAGAGCCAAATACTAACAAATCATCAACATAAAAGCAAACAATTACATGTGAATTATTCCAAAACTTATGATAGATGAACTTATCATATTTTTTGATTTAATCAACTTTCACTCATGTCACGAGCCATTTTCTAAACAAGCCGGTATCGGCACCCGATCATTAAACATGACCGCGAACCATCTGCACTTATCAAATCTATTATAACTTCAAATTTTATATGCCACAAGGCAATACTGTAACCAAATACTTTTAATTAATTTAAATATCTAAAATAAACCAAATCCAAAACTTTATTCGTAGTAACCAATGAAATGCTGCTAAGTTATTATCAAAAACATCTGAATCTTAACTCACCAACTGTGTCTATGAAGCCTTTACTGATAAACTGACGCACTGCTCAGGACATGAGGTAGCCTAGCTAGTCCTCCACGTAAACAAAGAAATATAACTCCATAAATATGATTCAAAGGATTACTCCACGAACAAAAGCGAAGCTCACCAATAGCGCTGGAAAGGAGGGAAGTCCTAAACTGTAGCCTGCTCTTCTTTGATCCGTCTTAGGACGGAGTTGAAGCCTCTCGCCTGCAAAACCGGTTCCTAAGTTGTACCACAGACCAATGTAGGTTCCCATAAGAGAACGTTAGTAACACCCATTGTACTCAGCGAGTCTCAACGACATGGGTCGAAATTTTAATACAATATACATTACGAGCAAAGAATCTAAATGCATAGAAAACATGAAGCTTCTAAGAACAATTCTAAAATAATTGCATAATAGCAGTTTATGAATATTCTAAAAGAAATTCTTTTCTTTTTCTTTCTTATAAAAAATATACTTCACTGTATACTTCGGGAGTCCCAACTATCCTGACTTATTTCTATCGTAGTCACCGTGTGATCGGCACGGGTTCAATCCCAACCTGATCGAATAGGCCCAATCCACGAGGTACCACTCGCTTCATGGTTCTCAGCGCTCATATGTCATACCTTAGCCTGGCTAAGTAAATTCTCAGCAACGAGACCCTCGGCTCGTGTGCTCTTACTTTGGCACAAGTAGTTTCAGGAAGTCAACACCTTGGTCAGGACCCTCGGCCTGGACGATGACCCCTTCTCAGAATAGAGGATACTCCCAAAAATCTTTTCTTTCGAAAACTCCTTCTTGTGACTTTTCAAGTCTAAATCTTTTCTGGAACATTCTATACATACTCATACTGGTATCCTTAAATGTAAAGCATGTCATAAGAATGAAATAAACATTCAAAATTATTTCTAAAGATTCTTGCTTCTTCATGAATTTTCAACATGAAAATGGCATAGAAGAATAACACAAAAATCTGAAAATTTATGCACATATATCATAATAAATCACCTAAACTTTAGCCAGAACAATTCTAACTTGATAGGTACTCACTCGCTCCAATTAAGTACATATAGACTCTTTTAAGCAATTCATCAAACGCCTTGTATGCGTACTTTTGTGAGTTAAACCACTTTAGTAAAGGGATATATCAACTCACCTCAAAATTTCTCGAGCCAACACGTAGGCCCCAGTCCAATTTATACCCGTCAAACAATTAATTCTACAACAACCAGTGCATTTGAATTAATTTAAAAGTTTCACATCTAACATGGAACTTACTGTTGATAGAGAGGAAGAGGGGAATTAACTATTCAATTCTTACCTATTATTACTGTAGGATAATTGATAATAGGGAATTTTATATACTTGAGTTCAAGAATTAGTGATTTGTAAAAACCCTAGATTTTCTATTGATTGCGTGAATTGTTCGCTGCCTCTGTTTCTAATTTCCGTGCGTTTTCTTTATTCAGTTCTGTTCGTAACTATTCAATTATGTGCTTTTATGTGTTTTGGTTGCTTTGACTTTCATCCAAGGCTTTATGCCTTTGATTTGGTCGCTGGAACAGAGTACTATATGGGCTTTAAGCCCAAATTCTTAAATGACTACTTTGCTTCTTTCTTTTTTTTTTTTTTTTGACAAGAATTTATTGATACTCACAATTAATGATTACTAATATTAAAATTATTAATATTTCCCTAATTATATATCTAATTCTTTATAAATAGAGAAATAATTCAAAAATCAATCACAAGGGTTTAAATCCGTAATAGAAGTATTATTTGAGATAAAAAAATAATTTAAATTATATATTTAGCGAGTTTTGAAACTTTTATAGATTTGAGGAGTGTTACAACTCATGCATAAATATTCAAAATTTTCATGCAAGAATATTTTATTTCTTTTACCCCCACCATTCTCAAAGTATTTTATTTATTTTATCTCCACTATTTCTAGAATTATGAAAATTCATAATCATAAATAATATAATCACAGAGTCATAAAAATATAAGGTAAAAAGGCTTTACCTTTCCTCCGCTTGAGCTAAACAAGTAGAAAACTTTTTACCTTTCTATCTCATAAAGAGAGTGAACTTTTATCTTGATATCCGCTATTTTTTCTACTGCATAATGGGCTTGGATCTTCTTAAAATTGTAAGTGAAATTACAGTTGAAAAATAAGATGAAGAAAAATAAATAAATATTCTTCAGGCTGAGGCGTGGATATCTCGCTCTCTTTATGGAGCTTCAAGCCTACTGCGGTAGCATCTTCATCGGTCCAGCAGTAATACTCTTGACTTGTCCCCTCCAAGATACAACAGTCCGACAAACGTGATATGACTCGAACAAACTCTGGACAAGTTGTTGAGTCCAAAGCTCCACCAATATGAACACCTTCCTTCAACAAAAATAATATTCTCTTTTGTTGAGAATAAGTTTGAGACTTACATTTTCTCCTTCTCTTAACTCCCTTTTTCACTACACCAAGTTCACCTTTTTCATACACACAACCATATTTTTCATCTATAACACAAGGAAGAAACACCACTATTTATAGGTGTATAATCTCTTCCACAAATAAATAATAAGGTAGTGGGATAATAAAATTGTAGAACATGTTTGGTAATTATAAAATTTAATCTTTAGTGGGTAATTAGTGGTAAATCATGGCATTAGTGATTTCATAAGTTACACCAAAATAATGATCACTTTCTTGTCAATTTATAATCATTACCATACAAGAAATAATGCACTCTGATATTATAATTTTAATATTAAAATGCATTAACACCAACAAGTTCTATCTTTTCTTTTGCTGGAGGAGTTTTGATAGAGTTTCTTTTGCTGGAAGAGTTTTAATACAGATAAGGCTCGTCAAAATCATTTCGTAAATTTCTAATATTTAAATCGGTTTAACTAAATAAATTTATGATATTCTCACTTTTAAACTAACTTTTAATTTTTTTAATTAATCTGCTTTTACTGTGAGCCTTATTACAACAACAACAACAACCCAGTAAAATCCCACAAGTGGGGTCTGGGGAGGGTAGTATGTACGCAGACCTTACCCCTACCCCAAAGGAGTAGGGAGGCTGTTTCCGGAAGACCCTCGGCTCAAGATAAGAAGAAAAACAAAAAGGAGAGAATGTTAGTTTCACCACAGAGATCACAGGAAAAATAGGAACATAAAATGCAGAAGGAAAAATGCAAAACAAAAACAAAAATGATGGCTAGTAAATAGGTCCTGCACCGAAAAGAGAAAATAGTAAGACACGACAATGCCCCTAGCTATCTCAGACAAAAACCCTACCAGACTAGGCTCACAACAGTACAAGGTAACACAAGACTCAACTACCTCCTAGCCTACAACCGTAATACTCGACCTCCACAACTTCCTATCAAGGCGATTGGAACACTTTTCTTTCTGTCGCGCACAGTCGTGTCATTTGTTTCTTTCAATGAAAAACGAAGATACAAAACATGACAGGGTAACCAAGGTGAAGGGGAATCTCATTGTTTATTACTCATTTTTATGGTATGAGACCAATCTCTTTCCTTTCAAGTGATTGTTAAATATCCTATAAATAATTTAGCCAATTCCTGACTTGGGTATGTTTTGTTTCTAGGTGCTTGTTTACGTCGTATGATAAAACAAACACAAAAATCATGTATGCGTGAATTAATAGATTAATTGAATCAATATATTTAATTGCAAATGGATCCTTTTATTGCATACGAATGGGACTGTATTTTTTACATTATGAAAGAGAGCAGCACCACGCTTAAATCATCAGCAGATGATAAAAAAGGGAAGGAAGAAAAAAGAAAACAAATCCGGGAATTATCAGCTTTAAAGATGAGGGAAATATGCACAAGTATTAATTTTCAATAATGAACTCATTGTTGAAGTGTTCTGTAACATTTAGAAGCTAAGTTCCTAAAATGGCGATCTGACAGAGCTCCTAGTTAGCACTAGATTTCCTCATTCCGTTTCTACTAATCCTAGATTGACAACAATTCTAACAAGAATGATATCCGTATGGTACATTCAAACAATGCTGATCTGCGATAAGTGTTCTACGAAGGAAGAAATAGAGCTTCTTGCGAATACAAAGGTTACAAATTGTCAAGCAGGCGCACTGACAGATTCCGCAAGTTCTTGCAGTAACTCCTGTTGTTCCATAGTAGAACAAGACTGCACAAAGACGAAATTAGCATGAGTGTTTGTTTTAATGGCAAATCTCCCCCCCCCCCCCCACCCCCACCCCACCCCCACAAAGAAGGGATGCTAATAGCTACTTTGCAAAAGTAATATACCTGAACAGCTGTCTCAATGTCACCCTCAAGAAACGACGTAAGCTCAAAGTTCATTTTTAGCCGATGATCAGTGACCCTATTGTCCTGTGAACATCAGAGAAAAGAAATCATAATGATGGAAAAGTGAGATGTAAGGGTGGGTAATCAAAAAGAAACTTTAGAAAACCACTCAGTTTATCCAGAATGCAGAAACGTGAGTATGCTTCATTTATACCATCACTTAAACAATAATCAGGAAAAACACAAAGTTTTTA